CCGGCTGCTGGTGAATGAGTGAAGAAAATCTAACCTGCCGAATCACGCGTAAATGAGAATGATAGAGGATTGAACCGGTTTCGGTTGATAGGAAGGAAGAAATGAATTTTGGCTTATTTGAGAAGGGAAATTACAAAGCCGAATCCTGGTCGGTCAGACAAGCTTGATAGTGAATGAATCGGAGTCGTTTGGTGTGAAGGAAGCCTAATCTGTATCGTAACTACCGTATTTACTCGAAACTAAGTCACCATCGATTCTAAGCCGCACTTAAAATCAGTGCCAATTTAAGCTCATTTCGGGCCCCGGGTTCAGAAGATCTTCAGGTCCTCTTGACACGAGCGGATCGAAATTTATAGTCAGAAAATCTGGTTAAGTCCAGCTTATTTGGGCCCTTCCTGGACCCGTGCCTCTGGGCACCCAATGGATAAACCGGCACTGCACCAAATTCTCAACATGTTTTTGAGAAAAATGTTGCCATCGATTCTAAGCCGCAACCCCAATTCTCTACACGTTTTTGAGAAATTTTTTTAAAAAGATGTTGTAAAAGGTTCTTTGATATCCGATACTTAAGAAATTTTTAAAAAATTGAATGAGAAATAATAAGTTAATAACTAATTTATTTTACCAGTATTAAAAACTTTCAAATACACTCATGCCCATAAACTAAGGCTAATTCAGAAACACACAGAAATTGAACTCTAAAATAAAAATTTCACCTGTAGAATTATTACACACATCTTGAAGAAGAATATGCAAATTACAGGAAACCACCAGATGGCATGGATAGTACGTCACAATGACGAGAGTGTAAGAGAAAGGTACATAAGGAATGGTAGCAAAGAAGTAAAATTGTTCACAAGCGCTTTAAAAGCCTTTCAGTGCAATAACCGCATAGTTATGGCACAAAGGAAGCATTTGGATGATTTTTTACGTGGTAGAATTATTGGACGATTGGAATGTGGACGTACCCAGCTGGAAGTATCTGAGGAACTTGGAATCACTCAGAGTGTCATCTCCAGAATTTGGCAACGATTCTAAGATGATGGTAATGTGAGTAGATGTTACAGCACAGGTCTCCCCCGAGTTACAACGCCGAATGAGGACCGGTATATATTTGGCAGTTACTGCCAAAAGAAACAGACGGAGCACAGCATCAACCCTGTCTTGTCAGCTCTCTTCAGCTACCGGTACGACAATTTCAAGGCAGACCGTGTACAGACGCTTAGGGCACATTGGTCTATATGCTCGTAGGCCTGTCAGATGTGTTCCACTTACCGTAACTCACTGTCGCCTGCGATTAACCTGGAGTAGAGAGCATGCATTGTGGACACCACAATAGTGGTCTTGTGTGATGTTTTCCGACGAGTCCAGGTTTAGTTTGCAGTTTGATCCTCGCCGGACTTTAATATGGAGAGCGCCAGGTACCCGTTACCATCAAGAGAACACACCATTGAACGACACCGTTACGGTGGTGCAGGATGGCTCGTTTGGGGAGGAATTATTCTTGGTACCAGAAATGACCTGCGTGTTCAGAGTGTAACGATGACAGGCCACATCTATCGGGATGTCATTCAGGAACAACATGTACGTTTGTTTCGGGGTGCCATGGGTGCTGAATTTCTGTTTATGGATGACAATGCCCGTCCTCTCCGTGCAAACATTGTAGACGAATGCCTTCAATCGGAGGATATCACTCGTATGGATTGGCCAGCATACTCACCGAACTTGAATCCAATAGAGCATGTGTGGGATATGCTTGGCCGACGAATTGCAGTCCGTCAACCCCCTCCCACCTGTCTACCGGGACTTCGGAGGGCATTGCTTGATGAGTGGTGTAATATTCCCCAAGATGAGATTGATAATTTGATACTCAACATGCCTAGGCGTTGTAAGGCCTGTATTGCATCGTCCGTGAGACATACTCCGTATGTCTCCGTATGTATCATACTAACCATGTTATACTGTTTTTTGTAAATAGGGTTGTTGTTTTTTTTTTAATTTGCTCCAAGGAGTAAAAATCGCAATTTTTATTAATTATGTCAAACATATAGCATCTTTTTTGCTCTTTAACTTTTGTTTAATAAATAGACTTTACAAATGAGTCAAATTTGTTTTGCTTCTGTCTCTTTCTTTGCCTGAACTTCATTATCTTTAATTGATGGACAGGAGTGTACATACATGAACCTATAATTAATCTAACCCTCAGTATCATGTATCGAAAATGATTCGTCACTCCCATTGGTACAGCTGACTTCGGAATGGGGGCAGGCATCGCCATTTTCCTACACAGTGTCGTCTTCCGTGCCATCCAATGCATTTGTTATACAACATTTTCAGATGAATATAAAAGAATTATTAAACACTGTTGAACATTTATAAACAAAAATTATATCATTTTGTTAAGCCATCGACGTATATTTGTTTCATCACCAGTAGCGCACACAGGAATTTTTCAAGGGGGGTGTCCAGGATCGAAAGTCCGCCATTCTTGTACCATGCTCCTTTTGATTTTGTCAGTTTTCGGGGACAAAAAACAGTAAGAAACTATTAATTGAATAAATAATTAGCATTAATTAATAGAATTAATCATTAATAACAAATACTTAATTAAATTTTATGTACTATATACTTAGAATAATAATAAATTGGGGAAAAAATTACGGCTTGGGGGTCCGGACCCTTAGGACACCTCCCTTGTGTGCGCCACTGCTCTGTTTCCATTTTTCTCTGAATATAAAATTGCCTCCCTTTTTATACTTACGTCATTGCAAACTCGTCATGGTGCTATGACCGATACCTTAAATGCTTATACGATTAAAAGAAAGCGTAGACAAGAATTTTTCCTACATAAGAGCAGACAATGATGTTTAGGCTGCACTGAATACTGGATATAAATTGCGGAATGGGATAAGACATCGATGCAAGCGGCCAGAATGAACGGTTACATTTTTCCTTTTGAAAGGGGCGTAAGCTCAATTTTTCCAATCCAACAAATGTTTTGCCTTCGATTCTAAGTCGCACTCGATTTTTCAGTAGCACTAACACTGGAAAAATAGTGCGGCTTAGACTTGAGTAAATACGGTAGTTTAAAAATAATAAGTTGTAAAATATGTGGATATAGTGTAAGTATGATTTTTTTTAAAAATTTAAAAACGTGTTTCGAATGAGATCATACAACGCATTTTGCATGAATGTATTTACAAAATTCAAATTATATATAATTTCTGCTTGAGTTTATAGTTGCTTTAGGTACAAATAAAATATTCATTTTTGATATTTTACTAAACTTTTTTAAGTGGTTATGAATTGTTTTTGATTGTTTATATTTTCTTTGACAGTTATATTAGTTTAGCCATCTTCCTTGTTTGCTTGCTTCTATTATCAAAAGTACCGAAAAATAAGTATAAAAATTACAATAACAAAACATTGTTTTTGTAAAAGTCTGAAGGAGACTCGTCCGTAAATAAGTTTGTATAATTATGAGATAAGATCTCCTGAAAATATCTTAAACATGAAAGGCACAAAACATCTGCTACAGAATAAAACAAAACCTCCATATCTTTCAAGACTTCCCATAAAATCTCTTTAGATGTAACAAATTCCTTCATCAGAAAACAACTGTAAATATCCTTCACAATTTCATAATCCTCTCTCGCATAGCAGTAAAACACAGCGATATCATACAACATCAAAAAAAAAGAAGACACCACACATAAATCCAAATCTTTCACGAAATACAATTATGTATCTCATTTTTATCTGCAACACATTTTAAAGGTGATGTAAGATACGACATTTATTCACTTTTTGTGCCTTTTATGTTATTTTTATAACTCCACAATCAAGTAATAAGTGTGGAGACATCCCGGGACTCATAAATTCGAACAGTTGTCTCTCCTTTGTGGAGGCCCCACACAATATACCTGATGCCATCACCCGCAGTACCTCAGGACTATATCTAAACTCTTCATTATGAGGCATCCAGCCGGCTGAATGGAAGTCAAGATATGAAAAAGGGAAATTTCAGCGATTTAAGATTAAGTGGACAGCGCCACTTATTAACGAGACCCTCGAAATGACCGTAAAAACGCCAAGTTGGCCCATGTCAAGGCTGTTATCTAAAAAAGCCACTCGCAAATCTTATCGGAACAACCTTTGTTGATCAGTTAAACTGACTGGAAACTCGAGATAGCAAGAGAAGTTTGATTCAGATAGCAGTTCAGAGACAAAAAGGGCCTCACGCAGGTTATTGCGCTGGTTGAGGTGAGATGTTTTCTGTTTGACGTTGAATTAATACTTTGTCTCTTTGTACGGAGATAATTATTCGGGTTTTAGATAAAAGGATATATTTTTTCTTTACCCGCCTGCTCAAGTGGTGTAATCGGCTCTTGAACTATTTGATAAAGAAAATTTATTTCTAATCCCTTTAATCGATTTATGTTTGCACGAGAATTAATGTTGTGTTCAGTTGTTAAGCCCAGCATGGGGGAAGAGGTCATATGGGGATTCTCATCTCTAAAAATGTTGACGTACTTTTTAATAAGTAAGGCTATGTTGTTTTATTGATTAAAATTACTTATTACAATGTGTGAGATGAATCGCAAAATTACATTACCGTAAAATCCGGCGTATAACGTGCACCTGTACTTTTAAGGTGCATATTTTAGTTTTTATATATATATAGGTATATTCGCCGTATAACGCGCACCCTTTTTTTCACACATAATTCTTACTATTTTAGTTCACTCTCTCCCTATATATATATTCATTTATATGTATACCATATATATCTTGTTCAAATTTTCAATCTGTTATAAAATACATTCAATTCATTCATTCAAATTCAAATACATTGTTTTAAACTTATAGTGGATGACATATGATGTTAATATAGGTTTTTCAAATGTTAGTTCCTTAATTAAATTTAAAAAATGAATAAATAGTAATAAACAAAAATAATAATCCAACAGAATATATAAAAAGGAAAATTGTCCGTTGCGACACTGAAGTGCAATGGATAGCTCGTTGGACCAAATCCAAAGGTCGTGGGTTCGAATCCCACCCGGGGTGGCCTAATTTCTGAGAATGTGATTTCTTTTTTTTTTACTGTACTATTTTATTAGAATAATTAAAATGTAATTATTGAATAAATAGTAACAAACAAAAAAATAGTTCATCACTCTATATAAAAAGGAAAATAGAAAATAGTGAGGAAAATCGCTTTCTATTTTGTCACTTAATTTTGTGATTCTGTCATACCTATATACATATTTATATTAATTGTAACTATTTAATGAAAAGTAGCTAAAATAAAATTTTTCTTTTTTGACATACGAAGGAATTTTGATTTAATTTTTTTTTTCATATTACTTATTTATTTTTGAAGCTATCATTTTTATACCGGGCGCATAACGCACATCCGTCAATTTCAAACTTATATTTTGTGTTAAAAGTGCGTGTGTATATACGCCGGCTTTTACAGTTATCTTTTTTTTTTTTTTTTTTTTTTTTTTTTGTAATATTGCTCCTTCTTTTTTCTGTTTGAACACACAAAAAAAAATTCAATTTTTAAAACAAGAAATGACAAAATATTAAAATAATTGTTTATTAACTAAGAACAAAATTCTTTATTATTGATCATTTTAATTATTTCAGTTATCCTTATTTATTTTTTTTTATAATTTATTACTTATGATACAGGTTCCCTAAAAACCATTTATGTCTTATTTTTACTTAGATAATAAAAATAAATGCTCAAAAATTTCAAGAGTTTGATTTTATACACGATAATTGTTACAAATAAGACTTGCAGCTACATCATAAGTCTGTATGGCAATACAACTATAAGTATAATATACTAATAGTGTACAGTGTAGTATATGTATAACATACTGATAAATATTCTTGGTTTTTTTCAAAATATTTACATGAGATCCATTAAGTAATATACACCAATTCATTTAAATTAGTGCTTCTCAAACTTTCAGTATTTGCGACTCAATTTTCAGTCATAATTTTCCTCGCCCTTCCTTCCCTAATCCATATACAATAACAATATATTAAATTCAATGATACTGTACTTCAGTGGCGCACACAAGGGGGGGGGAGGGTCCTGGGGGTCCAGATCCCCTCCAAAGCCTTTGATATTTATTCCGATTGATTATAATTCTAAGTATATAATATGTAAAATTTAATTAAGTATTTGTTATTAATGATTAATTTTATTAATTAGTGCTAATTATTTATTCAATAATTAGTTTTTTACTGTGTTTTGTTCCCGAAAATTGACAAAATCAAAAGGAGCATGATACAAGAAGGGTGAACTTTCGACCCCCCCTCCCCCCGCCCTTGAAAAATTTCTGTGTGAGCTGCTGCTGTACTTTGATGCTAAAGTTACAACACGGCTTTAATTATAAACCGTACACACAAATTATCAAGATAAGTATTACATTTTATATGTAATTTTATATATGACAAGCCCATGGAGTTACTCGCAATTGCTACACTTGCTTTTAACTTGGTTATGTTAAAAATTAATTATCAAATACATTGTGCAGTACTGATACATTTTTATAAATCTTTAAATATATAATTCTTCTGTGCGTGTGTATGTGACTAAACCCCTCCTAAACGGCTGGACTGATTTTGATGAAATTTTTTGTGTTTGTTCCAGTTAATTCTAGAATGGTTTAGATTCACAATTCGGTCCGATATAAAAATTAGTAAAAAATATGTTAATTAAAAACCTTAAAATGCATAATTGTTTTATCCCTGTGTGTTGTTTATTCAGCTAATGCGCGGCAAGAAGAAAAAGAAATAAGAGGGGGAAATTTTGTTTTTCGCACGGCCAATGATACTATGTTGCGTGTCCGATGGTTGGCAAACCATCGCATTTTTGTTTGTTTATACCCCTCAAAGACTATCCAAAAATATTGTGCATTCATTGGCATTACGATAAATTTTTTTACTATGCATTAAAAAAATATACCTGTTATGAATATATGTATACATAGCTCGAGTTATCTTTTTTATCATTTAATTAAAACAAATTTAAGTTTCTATTCAGAATAACTTCTACCATATTCAACTTGGTTCATTGTATGCACTTACTCACTCATCACATGCATGCATGTGATGACGTCAGATATTGTAATAACTTTTTTTATAAAAATTTTCATCAAAACGATCCAGATTGGTACAACTTATTCAAAAAAGTTTGAAATTTTCGGATTTAAGACACGTGTACAGGACAACGTCTGTCGGGCCGCTAGTATATTATATAAATGCTAAGACGTATTTCAATTTTTATTATGTCAGAATGTATTTTGTTTCGCTTCCTTTCAGTAAATTAATATTTTTAAATAATGCTTTATTTTCGACTTTTTAATATGCTCGCGACCCCTCGTTGGGCTATCACGCCGGTGGGCGCGCCCCACAGTTTGAGAGACACTGATTTATTCAACAATGTCACTAATCTGGCTGGGTGGTGTAGTTGGTTAGGCGCTTCCCTTGTACTCTTAAGATTGCGGGTTCGAACCCGGCTCAAGTTGGTGGATTTTCATGATGTAAAAAATCGCCACAGAGTGCCCCTATCGTATGATTATGCGGCATATTAAAGATCCCTGGTGCCCTCTGTTTGACTTGGGGGCTCTCATCAAAATCAATTTCCTTGAATAATTTTGCATCGTCAGAGATCAGGTGCTCCCTCTTTGGAGGAAGTTTTTGTGCCAAAATAAACATTGCGGCAATTGGTATCCACCTACGAGGTGCCATACTAAAAAGTAATACCAGCTCTCGGGGAATGTACTAGATCTGCAATGTTAATTACAAATTTGTAGCCCCCTTCGAAAAAAAATTCCTTCAATTATGTGTAACATTAATTAGAGGGCTGATGTTTTTTCGCGTTAAATCTGTTGAGGTTCAAACATCCTCACGTTAGTGTCATATGGAATTTAAGCTAGAGGGTGGTGCTAACTCAGGCATCGTCCTCGTCACTTGCCCATGGTTCAAAATTACGAGGTCCGTCACTAAAAGCCATTGAGTAGCTGAACAGTGCTACTTTAATATTCATTCACTCATTCTGAAAGGCTTTATGTAATGTGCACCCTAGCTCTGGCTTTTTCGGGGCCTTTTTTTCAATTCCACTTATTAGCTCACACTCTCTATATATTTATCTTGGTGGAATTTTCAATCGTTAATAAAATACATTTTAAAGCGCTCAATTGAGCTAAAATTTTATGTACATGATTATTTTGGATGACAGTACAGTAATTTAATTATAATTAATAAATATTAATTGATTAAAACTAATTATTCAAAGAATTACAAAAACTGCCACTTTGGCATAATTTTTGGGGACTTAGCGACCCTTTTGGTGATTTGTGTTAAAACTTGAAAAGGTTTTTTTCTCACATTTTAAAGCGCTCATTTGAGCTGAAATGTTTTATACACGATTATTTTGGGTGACAATACTATAATTTAATTATAATTAATTAAAATTAATTGACTAATTATTTGAAGAATTACAGTCACGTTGGTTTCATTTTTAGCGACTTAGGTCAAAAATTTACAAGATTTTTTTTTCTCACGTTTTAAAGCATTCAGTTGAACTGAAATTTTATATACACGATTGTTTTGGATGACAATACGATACTTTAATGATAATTAATAAAAATTAATTCCCACTTAATGTTGTGATTCTGTTCTTTTTGTATACATATTTATAATTTATTAATTGTAACTATTTAATTAAAAGCAGCTAAAATAAAATTTTTCTTTGCTGATCTAAGTAGGAATTGACTTAAAAAAACTTTTTTTCAATATTACTTGTTTTATTATAGTTAAATAATATAAAAAAAATTATTGTAAATATTATTTATGAGCTCTGTATTTCTACGAATCTTTTATGTTTCAGTGTAATCAGTCTTAAGAATAATTAAGTCTTGACTAAAAAGTGGCAATGAAATATTATTTTTTATTTAATTTAATAATTATATTTTTATCAACTAAAGGATTGCTAAAAATGACCTTTTTAGATGCCGTGAAGAATTGGAGGAAACTCTCTCTTTTAAAGTTAACATTTTATTTCAATAATTTAATAAATTAACTAAAAAACAACTCCATGTTAAGTTATCAATTTAATTTAGCGTTACAACCGGTCAAAGTACACGAGCAAAAATTCTGGAATACTGATTATCATAAAATAATAATAATAAATAAATAAATTGTAACTTTTACTTATATCTATTATTTTTAAAAAAAAAATGTTTTTTGTAGTGCAAAAAATTATTTAAAAATTTAAAAGTCTCAATGAAGAGCGAAAAACTTCGTGCAGTATATAACGTCAAGAAACGACGTAATGAACACATGTCATATGCATTTTTCATATTCCCCAGCATATTTAATGTGGAATCGATAAACAAAGTTTAATCAATTATATGGAAATTTATCAATTAAAATTCATGTATTGTCAAATTTTGGCAATTACACAACTCTCTATTTTTAGAATACCATTTACGACTTGGAAAAAAATGAGTATTTAAGCTCTGTAAAATGTACTGTTGTTATGTTGCCAAAAATTTTACACAAATATAAATCCTAGGACCATCAAAGTCGTTTTTTTTTCTCCCAAAGAGAAAAACATCTCTTTGTATAATTTATAATTGAGAATGATTTTTTCAAATCGGTACCCTTTTCCCTCCTAGTTTAATTGAATCCACCTGAAATCTCTCTGAAAAATACCGAATTCAAAGAACTACTTAACCATGCCACAAAGAACGTTTGATGGGTAAGCTGCAGCTTTAAACCTTTTTTAATCCAAAATACTCATCCATTTCAACCAAGAAATAGATGCTTCTGTCAATATTTCGAAGGATTATAAATCCAGCATGGGATATAGAGGCATGGCTAATACCTTTGCCACTTCCACAGTCACCCCCGCAGGTGAATCGGTAGGCTTAAACTTTTTTTCGAATGAATTCGTATTTGTTATCTTGTCAGATACTCTATAACCCTTTCTTCGTCGCATTTGCCCACACGCAGAGCAGATGCATTGAAGAAGGTTGAGCTTA